CACGCCCTTCACACCCGATCTTTACGAGCGTGCCTGGTGCTCCGTACCTCACCCTACGCTTCCACTCATCGCCACGGCATATTCCAAATCAGTCAAGATATTCTCGCTTTCGTCTCTTTCCTCCCATAGCACCCTGACTGGTGGCCACACCCGCTCCATCCGTTCGGTAGCTTGGAAACCCAACCTCCCTCCTCACCAGCTGTGCCTCGTCACCGGTAGTTTTGATTCCACCGCCGGACTTTGGCGCTGGGACGGCGAGCTCCCGTTTTCTGGCGACGGCGCCAACGCCGCTGAACCCCTCGAAATCGACCTGAGCAAGGCGGCACGCCGCTCCCTCGACGATGCGGATAGCGATGGCGAGAAGGACTGGGAGTTTACTCTCGTACTCGAGGGCCACGACTCAGAGATTAAGGGCGTCTCCTTTGCGCCATCCGGCGCATATCTCGCCACGTGCAGCAGAGACCAAACGGTATGGATATGGGAGGACGTGGGCGCCACCGAAGGGGATGACGAGTGGGAGACGGTCGCCGTGCTGAATGAGCACAACGGTGACATGAAGGGTATCGCGTGGTGCCCTGACGTGCCGGGACGCAACTCACGGAGGAGATACAGCGCCGACGTCCTCGCAAGCAGCAGCTACGATAACACTGTGCGCATATGGCGCGAAGATGGTGACGGCGAATGGGTCTGCGTGTCGGTGCTGGAGGGCCACGAGGGCACCGTTTGGGGTGTGCAATGGGAGGAGAAGCCGAGAGAAGACGGCGCCTTCCCAAGATTGCTCAGTTACTCGGCCGATCAAACAATACGGATATGGACGCTGCAAGTTGAGGACGAGGAGAACGAGGCGGGTGGCCGCGGAGGCTTCGGCGGTGGGCTGGGAGGCATTCCCAATACAATGCGGAGATCGTTGCGCGAAGAATGGGTGTGCACGGCGATCCTGCCCAAGGCACACACGCGCGATATCTACTCGGCGACTTGGAGTGCGACGACGGGGCTGGTGGCCAGTACGGGGAGCGACAGCATCATCGTAGTGTACCAGGAGGACGAGACTGAGGAAGGCAAGGCGAATGATGCCGGGGACGTCGTACCGATGGAGACAGACGAGGTCACCGAGGGCGGAAAGCCGGATGAAGTACCTGTGGGATCAAGCAAGTGGCGCGTTGCGGCAGAGGTTCCCAACGCCCACGGCCCGTACGAGATCAACCACATCACATGGTGCAAACGATATGACGCAGGTACGGAGAGGAAGGGGAGCGAAGAGATGTTGGTCACCACCGGCGACGAGGGATTAGTAAAGCCTTGGCAAGTAATCATATCATAGATGACGCCGGGGCAGGTAGTTTCGCCCCTTTGTGCATAATGAAAGCATATGGACGATACTTGCCCGCACCTGGAAGGACGTGGATATTGAGATATCATCCGACTCCCCACCAAGCTTTTTTGGCGAAGTTGATACAGGGGCGATGACACCCGAGAGCTTTCGATTTGGCGGTGCTGGATTATTTGCGCGACGTCTTAGTCAACGAACGACAATACATCACCACTGTAAGGTTGACATATTCAACTTGTGCTGCTGCATTGTTTATTCATTCCAACGTCTTCATTTTCAGCACCCATCGAGACTCCAGGCAAGAAGACCCAGCTAGCCCACATCATAGCCCTTAAGAGGGATGATCTTGCGAGGATATGCAGATGGTTTCTTGACTGAATGAGACCTATCTATGTGTTTGTGTTTCTGTCGCTACGGATAGTCTTTCATTGAATCCGACTCTTCCTTGATACCATAAAGGTGCTTCAAGCCTCCATACACAGTAGAGTCAAGTTCCATAGTATGATAGTATGATGTTGATGGCCGGGGTTTCCTCGGTCTGCAGCCCTCAGCCACTCCCAGTGGGGGCCTTAGGTGGCTGGTACTACGTAGATCACAGACCTGGCCTCGAACTGGCAGGGCTAACTTGGGTGGGCAGCTGCAACGAGAACCAAGCTTCAGAGGCCGCCCACCTCGGTACCTTAGCATCTCACCACAGATGCGTGGGCTGTGGCTTGGTCGCATACATCCAGGATGAAGATAGGTAGCCTGAGCAGCGACGTTCAGCAACTCTGTTGAGGCTGTGTCTGGCTGTCAGGAAAGCGCAATCCAGCAATATCTTGTAAGGTACGGAGTGGGCTGTGAATAACTTACCGTGTTCCTCGGGCTCTTTTCACGTTCATCGTAAACACTGATACCCTTGGGTACCCAAGGTACAGAGAGGAATCTACCTACCACAGTAGAACATGAGGTGCCAGGTCGTAGATGGTCGCCCCAGCCAAACCCGACTCCACCGGCGCCCAACCTAAGTACCTAACCAGAGAGAACCTGGGCCGTTCATTTCAGTTCTAATTGTCCAACTTCTGGCGGTGCCCTTTCGTCGCCAATTGTTGGTCAGGTCTGGCACTTGGCTACCTTGTTGCACATCACACTGGAGAAAGATGTCTGTTCAAACTTGACGGTAAGGTAGGCAAGGCATCTTTGGTTCTGTCCGCGAGGTAAGTAGGTAGGCAAAGGTTCCTTGCCCTCATCTTCGACATCTTCCGGGTTATCCTTACCACGTCCCCTCAAGGTTCACCGCAAACCAGTCACCAAAGGTATCTTACCCACCTTCCATCAAGATAAGGTAGCCATCTACCCTGGCCAAGCCAGCCCCGAAGCAGCTGCCGTGCTCTTGCCCTCTCACGACAGACTCGGGTCTTGTCTGTGCCTATGTCAGTCCATGTGGTGGCTGAACACATCGCCCGGGCTTCTTTGTGGGAAATGGGTCAATAGTCAGTCAGAGCGCAGCAGCAATGAATGTATGGACCCCTCTCTCAGTCTCATTTGGCAACGGAACTCTGCCTTATAAAACCCTGGGCTCCTAAACCCGGGTTGCCCTCTGGGCTGTGATCCAGTCAGTCTGGACTCTGCACTGCCTGTATCCTGGGGCCACCCACCTGTATTAGTGCCGATACGCCCACCACCTACCCGCAGACGTATGGTATCCATCCAGACCTTAACTTACCTACCTTGGATACATCAATACCTTACCGCACTTACGTCCCTTCCCCGCCACTTTTCGTCTCCGTCAACACCACACGTCCATTGTTGGCGATCCCCTCCAGCCGTAGCATCATACCCGCCGCCCTCTGGCTCTCTTATGCGCCCATACCGACTCGACGACGACCTCTGTACTCTCTCCCATGGCAGGGCCAACTTCACCGGGCGCTGAAGGCCCCACGTATGCCCCGCCTCATCTTCCTGCTGGCTGGATTGCCCAGTGGGATGGTGCGAGCAAGAAGTACTACTTCGTGCAGCTTTCCACGGGCGTCTCGCAATGGGAGACCCCGACGGATGCCGCGCCCACCGGCGCGACACCTGCTCAACCTTCTGATCACCCCTATGGTGTTCCTCAACCCGAGGTCATCACCCATCCTGACGGCAGCCAGACGGTGAAGCATGCCGATGGCACCCTCGAACCCGTCAACCCCTCCATGCCTCCCGACACCACCAGTACGAGGGGCATCGACGGCCAGACAGGCGATCGCGGACTCGGCGTACGTGTCATGCGACCCTTTTTCCCTCTCCATATAACCTACTCGCGCGTTTCCCGCCCGCTGCTTTGTTCCTGTTTTGCGTTCGAATGCGATTACTGACTTGGGTCCCTCCCCAGAGCATGGCCATGAATGCGCTTCTTGGCAGCGGCAAGAACTCGAATCACGGCTCCTCTTCCGGCAACCAAAGCAGCTCAAGCCCCTTCGGTGGCATTGCCAGTCAATTGATGAACGGTATCGGTGGGCACGGTAACAGTCACGGGAGTAGCAGCGGGGGCGGCAAGAGTTCACTGGGCAAGATTGGCAGCTCTCTAGCTTCAAGCCTGCTCTCGAGCGGAAAGCAGTCTCAGCAGGGCCAGTCGCAAAATTACCATGGCGGCCAGTCCTCGGGTCATCAACAACAAGGTGGTCTGGCTGGATCTCTAATGGGTGGCGTTGCCACCATATTTGGCGGAAACAAGCAGAGCCACGGTGTATGTCAGAGAGTGCACTCTCAGTTGCCAGGCGCATGACTGACTTGAGCATCTAGGGCAACAATGATTTCGGGTACTCCAATAATGCCTCTGGTGGCGGCGGAGGTGGAGGCTACACCGGCCAGGCTCCTCCTACTTCTTACCAGCCACCTGGTTCGTCTTCGCATAACCAGCACTCATCTACTCCAGCGGGGGGTTCATACCACTCTCCTGCGCCGAACCAGGGCCAGAACCATTCGCAGCAGTCGTATGCTCCACCTCCTAACCAGTACCCGCCTCCGCCAAACCAAGGACAACCTCATCACAACAACTCCTACGGCGCGCCGTCTCAACAGTCCCATGCTCAGTCCTACCCACCTCCACCCTCTAGTGGTGCCCCTTCGTATGGTCAGCAGCCCAGCTATGGCGCCCAGCCAAGCCAGCAGCACAACCAGCAGCACAACCAGCAGCACCAACAGCAGCACCAACAGCAACAACAATACGGAGGATATAACCCCGCGACCTATAGCAATGGTCCTCAAGGCCCTCAGACTGGAGGGGGCTATCCCAGCCAACCTTCCTACGGCGGCCAGCCTTCTCAACAACCCAGCTATGGCAACCACTACTAGATGTCTGTGAAGAGGCGTATATTCACAGAGTGCTCCCGTAGCTGAGTGAGACTTGGTGCGGCTTTCGACGTCAACTGTACACATGGACTGTTGCACCTAGCCGTTCGTTTTCCCTAGTAAGATATGCTCAAGAATGACGCAGGGGAATGCCAATTTGGTAGGCAAAGTGGACGTTGTCACCTCCTTCAATTCTTGCTGCTTGATGATGGGAGATGTGCGACGAGCCTTGGATATTATTTGAAGCAAGACGCGGGGGCTTTTTTGTACCCAGTGGAATTCCTGTCGTTAGAGGTCCTTTCGTTTTGAGCAAGAGATGAATGCATGGAGAAGGAGACGCGTTGCATTGATTACGTGCTCAGAGCCTCTTCTTCGTTTCCGTGGACCGGTCTTCATCGGCGAGTACCGGTTGAATCCAAGCGAGAATGCATTTAGATAGAAACCAAGCTGAAAGCGCCACGAGTACGATGTAAGCGACGGTAGGCGTCAAGGACCGTGGCAAAGCATTGAACAAGAACGGGTCGAGGATCAAGTCAACGCTGACGGGCTCGACTTTGGCCATGAGTGTGTTGTTGTCTGTGAAATAGTCCGCCGAGGCCGAAACCCGAAGGAACAGCAGCGAACTTTCATGCTCCCGTCCTCTGCTCTGCAAGGCTTGGTGCGCGTCGGCATCATCCTGATCAGACTGACGCGAGAATGCGTAAGTTGCCAATGATGAAATGAGCTCTGGAGTATCCCACACAGCGGGCAGCTCAAAGACATCGAGCGCGAAAGCAGTGGGTTGCTGTATATGATAAGAATTCTATGCCAGACAATATGCCAGATAATAAAAGGGTTCACCAAATAACGTACCGTGGCCGACCAACACACTCGAAGTTCGTAACGCTGGCCTTGGGTCAAGTTGGTGAGCAGCAGCCAGGATGTCGTGCCCAGTGGAGAGTCCGAGGTTGGAAATGACGCTGGCAGTTGAACCCGTTTGGACCACTCATCGGGTGTGAGGACGTCTAAACGGAGGTCCTGAATTGTTGGTGGCGTGGTCGGAACGTTGACCGTCTCGGGCCCAAGAAAGATAACCTTTTCGGTATTGGCTCGAACAACATCGAGGCAGCAGGCCAGGGCGAGGCGGGCGGCGAAGGCTAGACGCATAGCTGTCTGTTGGCTAGGTATCGATGAGGCAGCAGGTTCCGGTTGTAAGTTATTCGGAAGCCTTGAGGAGTTAATCGGCTGCCTGGACAGCTTTTGTTGTGATGAGGTGTGGCCGGTGGCGGACGATATGGTGATCAGCAATGTAGTTGAGTGAAGCTGTTTGGTAGGTAGGGATTACTCGGCGAGAAGAGTGTGAGACAGGGATGTAGGGTGAGGGGACTGGGACGCTCGAGAGGATTGGTCTGTCATTCTTCAACCCTTACCATAGCACCTAACTATTGCTCTGCAGGCTGCTAGCAATCTTCTCTCAAGGTGGCTTTTGGCCTTTTTCTCCCTCTCTCTTCTGCCTTCTCCTGTCTTAGATCTTAGGCTTCTACTTTACCTACACATGAAACAGTAAACGTCTTTATCGAATTCCATTTTGATACAACGCCAGGCTGCTGCTTTATTACCGCCACCGCGGTTCGCCGATGGGTCCTGTTTCCACACGGCGATTGAGGATTCCTGGAGCCTGGTGAGGTGCGGAACCCGCCTTACTAATTGACTCTCCATGGACCTTGAGTGCAGATGCGGGCTCCGTATGAAGAGACTCTCGTGTTTGGGTTTATCCAACGGCTGTCATTTGCCTGAGCTTATTTCTGATGCTTGAAGGCTGTTGGAGGTCTTCTCAGAGGCCAAACAGAAGAAGACTATCCCCATCTAGCCTATACCCTTGTCTGCATACATCCAATTCCGCGTTTTGTAGGATGAACGTCTTGAGACTTGTTCTTCAACGACTGTTCGATGTTTAGTTGCCCAAGTGTTTAGGTACCCATACATGAATGCAGGAAGACCTGGCTGGTGTCTCCATTTCTAATCGTCGTAGAACACGTCTTGGAAAGAAAGATTGGACCACCCCAGCTTGAGGGTTTCTCGTATTGTACTGTGTGGTACCTCAGGGCATGGTGATAAATAAATACATAGTTCCTTTACCTCCCGCACTGAGAGCTGTCACTCCGACCGAGGAACGACAGAATGGAAGGGACCTGAGATGCTTAGGTACCTTACCCAAGCGCCTAACACAACTTTCCTGAGGGAACCTTACTACGTAGAAGTGCGGTGAGCCTCGCCTGCCAATGGCAGATTAGGTAGCCTGCAGAGCGATTTCTCCAATGTTTCCCAGCGTGCCAGGTTCCGAGGTACGTACCCAAGGTTGCCCTGTACCTGCCGAGTCCCCCATTCAGGGGGCCAATGAGACATCCCCGGTGCCTCCCGTCGTGCGCTCCTGCCATTGGACGGCATCGCCAACGACAACAGACCGTGGGCAGACGCGCTTACCACTTTAGGCCCGTTCATATCAACAAAACTTCGCCGGACTCGCTACACGGCCCCTGGCGCACCAAATTTCCTACCCCACCCCGATTTCTCGACCACCTGAGGAACCCGGTCCCACGTCCCACGTCCCACCTCACCTCACGTCCCAAGGTCTCCGCGCCCCGGTTCTGCCAGCAAGCACCATCAGTTGGCAGTCCACTGCACCACCCAAAAGACCACAAGCACGAGCCCAGCACCTATTATTCCTTCCCCTTGCACTCGCCAGGCCTAACCTAACCTTTTCAACCTCCTGTCCGACATCCTCTCGTGATAGCTGCAAAGACGACATTTTTTGCTTGCTTCTCACCTCCTCGAGCCCTGCTTCTTTGCTCTCCTCTTTCAGTCGCTTGTCTATAACCTCAAACAATTCGCCGCCAATATGCGTGAGGTCATCAGCATCAACGGTAAGCAGATCCGACTTTTGTTTTGATCCCCCGACCCCACGCGTCCGCCTTCACCGCATCCTCACCCCCAGCTACCAATGCGCATGCCGCAATCGCCTACCATAACGGCTATTTGGTCTTTTGCCTTTGAACACTTGCTAACTTGTCACTTTAGTCGGTCAGGCTGGTTGCCAGATCGCCAACTCCTGCTGGGAGGTATGTTTCTCGTTTCTCTTCGATACCCCCATATCGCCGAATCGACTGTTGAAAACGACTTGTCAAAGCGATACTCGAAGAGAATAAACTTGGAAACGCCAGCTCGAAGGAAACAAACTAATCGTTAACATCCTATAGCTTTACTGCCTCGAGCACGGTATCCAGGTAAGCTTCCAACACGTCTTCGTTTTCATTCCGTTCAGCATGCTAACGTGCAACTCTCACCAGCCCGATGGATACTTGACCGAGGAGCGCAAGGCTGCCGACCCCGACCATGGTTTCAGCACCTTCTTCTCCGAGACTGGTACGATCTTGGCCAGACAAAGCTTCCGAGCCATCTATTGAGTACTGTACTGACCGAAAGGAATGTGTCTAGGCCAGGGCAAGTACGTCCCCCGTGCCATCTACTGCGATCTTGAGCCCAATGTCGTCGACGAGGTCCGCACTGGCCCCTACCGCGGTCTCTTCCACCCCGAGCACATGATCACTGGCAAGGAGGATGCCTCCAACAACTACGCTCGTGGCCACTACACCGTTGGCAAGGAGCTCATTGACCAGGTTCTCGACAAGGTCCGCCGTGTTGCCGACAACTGTGTTGGTCTTCAGGGCTTCCTCGTCTTCCACTCATTCGGTGGTGGTACCGGCTCTGGCTTCGGTGCTCTCCTCATGGAGCGTCTCTCTGTCGACTACGGAAAGAAGAGCAAGCTCGAATTCTGCGTCTATCCCGCCCCTCAGACCGCTACCTCTGTTGTTGAGCCGTACAACTCTATTCTCACCACCCACACTACCCTCGAGCACTCTGACTGCTCCTTCATGGTCGACAACGAGGCCATTTACGACATCTGCCGTCGCAACCTGGGCCTTGAGCGCCCCAACTACGAGAACTTGAACCGTCTCATCGCGCAAGGTAAGTTTTACAAGAACAAGGACAACAAAAGGCTTCCTGTCAGAAACGTAGAATACTGACGAGTGTTCTGCAGTTGTTTCCTCCATCACCGCCTCCCTCCGCTTCGACGGCTCCCTCAATGTCGACCTGAACGAGTTCCAGACCAACTTGGTTCCCTACCCTCGCATTCACTTCCCTCTGGTCGCCTACGCGCCCATGATCTCGGCCGCTAAGGCCGCCCACGAGGCCAACTCGGTCCAAGAGATGACCATGTCTTGCTTCGAGCCCAACAACCAGATGGTCAAGTGTGACCCCCGCCACGGCAAGTACATGGCCACTTGCTTGCTGTACCGCGGTGACGTCGTTCCCAACGATGCCCACGCCGCCGTTGCCACCCTTAAGACCAAGCGCACCATCCAATTCGTCGATTGGTGCCCTACTGGCTTCAAGCTTGGTATCTGCTACCAGGCTCCCCAGATGGTGCCTAACGGTGACCTCGCCAAGGTCAGCCGTGCTGTGTAAGTTCTGCCATGATTGCTTAAGAGTGAGAATGTATGTCGCTGACAGTGATCCCAGGTGCATGCTTTCCAACACCACTGCCATTGCCGAAGCCTGGTCCGCCCTTTCAACCAAGTTCGATCTCATGTACTCCAAGCGTGCCTTCGTTCACTGGTATGTTGGTGAGGGTATGGAGGAGGGTGAGTTCTCCGAGGCTCGTGAGGATCTCGCTGCTCTGGAGCGCGATTACGAGGAGGTTGCTGCCGACTCCCTCGAGGGTGAGGAGGGTCTTGAGGCTGAGTACTAAGAAGTGTATATCCTGGCGATTGGATGCGGATCAAGTTGCGCAGCAACAACCCCGATTCTTTATGGGGCGCAGGCTTTGGTGTCATGGATGTTTGCAATGATGCTGTCGTCCTACGGGGCCAAAGGCGTGTTTACTTCAGTTGTTAGAGTGAGAAAAGAATAGCCGACTTTAATACCACGGGGATGAATCACCTCAATGCTTCGAGTTGTGTAGTGCTACGTATTCCCGCCGGCATACAGATACCCTCAGTACCACCCTTGTACCGCGTTTCACTCAGGTCGACGACTACATATTGTTATGCGAGTCTTCATCGTAGAATACTTCTATCATCGGAGGCTCTGTTTCCGAAGGCATGTTAGGAGAAATCATTACATTACACAATCACAATCATCCTCGATACGCTGGGTAAGGTTGGATGGCAGCAGACGGGATACAATGGTACCGGAAGCATGGCGCGGAGGAGTCGGATGTGTCAAATGCGGATGGGGATGCAGCGGGAGGCGTGGCCGAGCTTTAAGATGGGGCGCATCGGTGCAGGTCGACTACGGACGGGAACTGAGGTACGTACCTCTTCAAGGCAGAGGTACCCAAGTGTGTGGCTTGGCTTGCGAATCACCTTGGCCAGCCTGACGACCTGCCAGCGGAGACCAACAGTCCCCCCAGCCGTCCACAATCGACCTCCTGCTTGCTGTTCGCTACCTTACCTACCTAATTACGTTGGGAGGAACCAACGTCCAAACACGAGATACGTCCTGTTACATCTCTCTCTGAGATAACAGAACCGGGCACAGCATCTGGGCATAAGGTAACTTCAACCCATTCCTAATTTTCCTTGTCAGTGCGTATGTGTGGTTTCTAACGTGCCGTTTCCCCGTTGATAGAACCGGAGTTGATCGAGCCCCCAACCCCCCGGAAATCGCATCCAAATTGACGACAACCGACCAACCTTCCCGCCAATCACCCAAATCCGGGCCACCCCAAGCCGCGCAAGACCCGTAGCTTCTATCGAAAGGAGCCCTGATAATTCAAGATGTCTGCCGAGGGCGTCGATGCTGGTGAGTGCGCAAGTCCCTGTAGCGCTTGCGCGCCAGCCTGAATAGAGAAGAGCCAGCGTACTGACGACAGCCGTGTCTCATAGCCGCGCCGAACCTGAACCTGACCCCCGAAGAGAAACGTCTCTATGGCCAACTGTTCCGCCAAGCCGATACCGAAAGCGTAGGAGTTGTCACTGGCGAGACCGCTGTCAAGTTTTTTGAAAAGACTAGACTCGATTCAAGGGTACTGGGAGAGGTAAGGACACAACCCGGTGCCAACACCCGAGAAACGACGATGATAGCTGACGCCAAAGACTGCAGATATGGCAAATTGCAGACAAGGAGAACCGGGGGTTTTTGACCCCAGCAGGCTTCGGGTTGGTGCTGAGACTCATCGGCCACTGCCAAGCTGGACGTGAGCCAACGACTGAGATAGCCCTCCAACCAGGACCTTTGCCGCGCTTTGATGGCATGCCTCCTCCAGCCGGTCTCGCGTCTCCTACACCCCCGCCCGCTGCCGCTCTACAAGCCCAAGGCACTGGCAGCGGATCCATCAGGATTCCTCCTCTTACACCTGAGAAGGTTAATCAATACTCTGGATTATTCGAGCGTCAGCCGCTGCAAGCCGGAAATCTTCTGCCCGGCGATGCGGCTAAGTCCATCTTTGAGAAATCAGGCCTACCGACTGAAGTGCTGGGCAGAATCTGGCAATTGGCCGACACTGAACAGCGCGGAGCATTGGTTCTGACCGAGTTCGTTATTGCCATGCACCTGCTCACATCAATGAAGACGGGTGCTCTCAGAGGCTTGCCCAATATCCTCCCAGCACCTCTCTACGAGGCCGCAACTCGACGCGGACCTCCCGCTCCTAGGCAATCACCCACTGCAACTGGGCCTATCTCGGCAATTCCGCGACAACTCAGCGGCACAGCCCAGTATCGTGCTGGTAGTCCTCTTGGTCGCCCGCCCATCACCGCGCAGACGACTGGCGCTCCTGCTAGCGACTGGCTAGTCACTCCTGACGACAAACAGCGCTTCGACGTCCTCTACAACGACCTGGACAAGACTCAGAAAGGTTTCATCACAGGCGAGGAGGCTGTTCCCTTTCTCAGTCAATCGAACCTCCCCGAGGACGCTTTGGCCCAAATTTGGGATCTCGCAGACATCAACTCCGAGGGGCGTTTGAACAGAGACACTTTTGCTGTTGCCATGTATTTGATCCGTCAGCAGCGAACTAGACGCGATGGCACTGTTTCCCTTCCGGCATCACTCCCACCAAACCTCATCCCGCCTAGCCTACGAACGCAGGCCCGCCCTCAGACCTCAGGATCTCCCTTTGATGCTCCTCCTCCACCCCAAGCCCAGGCCCCAGTTCCGGCTCCCGCTCCCGCCCCGAAGTCTGCTCTTGATGACTTATTTGGCCTTGATACGCCGCCAGCACCCGCTCCTGCTCAAGTTGCCCTGTCTACCGGTGGCTCGAATGCGAACGATCCGTTCGGCTCTGGCTCGGCTGTTCTAGCACCCTCGTCCCCTATCCGGCCATCGCCTACCGGCAATCAGTTCAAGCCATTCGTGCCCTCATCCTCTTTCGGCCGTGGACTTACAGTTCACAACACTGGAGATTCTAACTCCGGTCGGCCCCCTGCTCCCTCAGCATCTGAAGATCTTTTGGGAGACGGTGACCCTGAGGTCAGCAAAAAGTTGACAAACGAGACGGCCGAGCTTGCGAACCTGTCGAACCAGGTCGGCTCTCTGTCCAAGCAAATGCAGGAAGTTCAGGGCCAACGCACCACAACGCAGAACGAGCTGAACCAGGCCAACTCCCAGAAGAAGAACTTCGAGCACCGCCTCGCCCAACTCCGTACCATGTATGAGAAGGAAGCTAAGGATGTCGAATCTCTGCAGGTGCAGCTCAATACCTCGAGAAACGAGACGAAGAAGCTACAAGGCGAATGCATGACGCTGGACGGCACCTACCGAGACCTGCAGACGCAGCACCAGCAAGTGTATGCAGCACTGCAAGCTGACCAGCAAGAGAACGCCAACCTGAAGGAGAAAATCCGCAACCTCAATGCAGAAATCGCACAGCTGAAGCCCCAGATCGAGAAGCTCAAGTCCGAGGCGCGACAGCAAAAGGGACTCGTTGCTATCAACAAGAAGCAGTTGACAACTAACGAGGGTGAGCGTGATAAGCTACAAAGTGAGATCACTGATCTCCATAAGAGCAACGAGGAGCTGTCTCGCCAGGTGAACACAAGTTCTCCTGTCGCGTCGTCGGCTCAAGTAGCCAGCCCAACGCCCTCGACTGCCAGTGGAAACAATCCCTTCTTTAAGAGAACGGGAAGCACTGATATTATGGGTACTTTCACTTCGCCGCCGCCTGCCAAGCCTTCGAGTGGTGACAAGTCCTTTGACGATGTCTTTGGGCCAGCGTTTCCCCCTGTCGGCACTGCCAGCACCCCGCCGCCAGCTACCTCCTTCAACCCGCAACACACAGGTGCGTCGACCGCTAGCGTGGGCTCGTTTTCGACACCTCCTGTCTCCATGCCTCCCAATATCAGCAGGCAGGCTACCCTCGCAGCTGAGCCTCCTGCCCCCCCGCAGTCTAGACAAATCAGTTCGAGCTTCCTGCCGTTTGCCGACGCGAACGAGTCTCTGAGCTCTTCTCGGGCTGTCTCGCCGCCCGCTTCTCGAGCCGAGGGTGAGGTCGAGACCCCCCAGGCAGCCTCCCTGCCTGGAGCCTTCCCCCTGGAGCCTACGGCTACGGGTCAGAGCACGGCATCTACTTCAACTGCGAGCTTCCGTGAGTCAGCTGCTCAAGGTGATGCGAAGCCTTCGAGCACTGGAGCTGCAGCCGCGGGCGTGGCTGCAGGCGTGGTTGCGGCTGCGGCTGCGACAGGCAGCGCTGCGGCGGATTCTGACCCATTTGCTGCGATGGGCCCGAACGACGCCAAGGCTGATTTCGATGATGCATTTGCAAGCTTCACCAGCGCACACAATAACTCTGACAAGTCGGGTGCTGACACAACCAAACCCTTCTCAGCTTTTGATTCTGAATTCCCACCCATCTCCGAGCTTGACCGTGACGACGATGACGACGATTCAGATACTGCCAGCGAAGGGGGCGGCTTTGATGATGACTTCGCCCCGGCGTCTCCTCAAGCGAAGAAGACTGAACCTCCCACGGAGCCCAAGGATGCCGTTTCCCCGACTGTTCCGGTGGCTGCGGCTGCTCTTCCTGCGACTGAGGATTCGGTCTCCCCTACGTCTATCCATAACGCTACTGCTACTGCTACGGCAGCACCTACTATTCCCGAGACATCGGAGGCTAGCATTACCTCAGCGCCCACGACTACACAACATCCGGAGCCCAAGGCCCAGTCTTCCTTTGACGATCTTGATGACGAGTTCGAGGGTCTAGAAGATGCCAAAGAGGGTTCTGCCGATGATGACTTCCAGACAATTTCTAGATCTGGTTTGGATGATTTCAACCCAGTCTTCGACAGCAGCCCGCCACCCAGCCAAGCCAAGACAGAGTCTACTGCCTTTGGACAAGAGAGCAGCTACGACTTTGGATCAGTATCACCAAAACCGGCCGCTGGCGAGATTGCTAGTGCGGCATCGAAGAGCTCAGCAGCGGCTCCGGATGCACAGGACTGGGATGCCATCTTTGCCAGTCTCGACTCACCCAGTGACGCTAATGCAAACCCCACAGCAAGTGCTCCTGCCCCTGCTCCTGCTCCTCCTGCAGAGGATACTCGGCCAACTCCTGGTAGAGCCCTGACACACACGGGCGAGCATGATGATCCGATTTTAAAGAACCTCACCAGCATGGGCTATTCGAGAGAGGACTCCATTCTCGCTTTGGAAAAGTATGACTACAACTTGGAAAGGGTAAGTGGATTGATTTCCTTTAAGGATCGCATGCATCACCCCTTGCGTATGTGGCTGACTCTGTTAACAGGCTGCCAACTATCTCGCAAGCCAGTCGTGAAGATAGCAGAACACAATCAAGAAGAGAAGAGAAACGCAGTTTTGTTTCATTATGGGAGGCAAAGGGGCGTGAACCCCCATGATTGCAAGCGTTCCATTTTCCCCGCTTAGCCTGGAGATACCTGAATGTGTTTGGAAGTTATTCGGAAATCCCCTTAGCCCTAACCCCCGTTACGCCAGGCCGCTCGATTCTCCCCTTGGATTATGGTGGGCCTCCGGTGATTAATGTGTATGTACGATGTACATGTCGATTCGATACTAGCATAGCAATGTCACAAACCTTTTCTGATATGATGTTTACCTGCTCACTGCCTCACTGCGTAGTTCGTTGCGTGCTCAAGTAGAGTCAATGAATGGTAAGATTGGATAAGGTAATGGCTGCGAGTGCTATGGCGAATACTTGTTTTGGTACGAACATGCTATTCTTGTATGCTGTACATAAACTTCAGACAGTAGCATTGTTCCCACTACAGAACGTGAATATTCGTGCAGTTGATTTGCTTCCTTGTTGTTCATTGTTTGTTCCATTTGATGAACTTGCTTGACTCCGAAAGCCGTGACCAAAAGACAAAATGCTCATGTGCTTCTTCAAGTGTCCACATCTCTAGCCTAATTTCACCTATCACTGCACAATGGGAGAAGAAGAAGAGAGAGAGAAAAGTGCGTCTAACACGTAATCTTCTATAATTACATTCTCTGGGTGGGTAGAGAGAATCATTGTCACCTGCTGCCCTTTCAGATGATTTTCCACACCCTTTGCGTGCCCATCGTCCTCATCACTCGGGCTCGGTCGCCCCCCTTTGGGAACTTGTAAATCATTGTTTCACTGCAGCTTGCAGTGTATATATAAACAGTGCCGGGAAAGGCGGCCTTTCCTTACACCTCCACTTCGGATCTCCTTCCTTGCTCGACTTGTCCTCGTCGTCTTCGCGCTCGTTCATCACTTGACCTTGCCCATGATCGTCTCGGGCCCCCTGACTACGTCAATCTGCGCCGCCCTCGCCTTGACGGCGTTGAGCATGCTCCTCTCAAAGTCGTCGCGTGACCGCAGCACCGCTTCGACCCAGTTGACCTGCAGATCCCAGTACGCCGTCTTGAAAGCCTCAAACGTATCGGGGATGGCGTCCTTGTCGACGGTGATGAGCTGCAAAAAGTACTCAGTGACGCGCCATGTCTGCTTGACCGAGTTACCGACATCGGGGTTCGGCAGGGCGCTGAAGTACTCAAACGCCGTCGAGATGTCGTTGAAGAGCTTGTCCTGCACTGGGTCGGCCCGGCGAAACTTTGCGCCCTTGTTACGTACCGACGAGAGGTAGCGCACGAGGAGCTCGTCCGAGAAGATCTCAGTGAAAATATCGACGAGGGAGTGGTGGAGCACCTGGCGGTAGTCGCCGACGTACTCCTCAAATGTCACCACCATCTGCTTCATGGCCGTGCTCGTGTACCACTTGGGAGTAAAGAAGTCCGCCATGACGAGCTTGAAGTCGACCGAGAAGATGAGCTGCACAAACTTTGTGATGCACCACGTGCTGAAGTCGATGTAGCCGTCGCGCAGCAGCTCGACTTCGGTCTCCGCCCGCTCCATGTACGCCGGCGACACGAGGGGCTCAAACTTTTGCTTAAAGTTGGAGAGGTAGCCGAACCTGTTCTCTTCCTCATTGTCGTCAACGCACGCAATTTGATCGTTTGCTGTGGCGACGAGCCAATCTTGAAGGGGCTGGAATCCCTCGAGCTCCGGGACCTTGCCCGTCTCGAATCTAATAGCTTCCTCTTCGAGCATCTTCTGCCACGACTGCTGTCTACCGCGTAATCTTAAGAACATGGCGTCAATGACACCCTCAATGACGTCAATGCGCTTCGAGTTGGCCGCAGCGTCAATCTGCTCGCGCATCATACGCCACATGTCTACGAGGTTCCTGGACCTGAAGTAGCCGTATTCGTCTTGGTCCAAGTTGGAGCCTTCGACGTTGCGTTCTGCAAAGTCCTTCTGTTCCGCGTTGAAGATGCGCTCGATCCATTCGTCGAGGAACTTGATGATGAGCTGTCGGAAGTCGCGGACCAATTCCGTCTCTCTCGAGTCGATGACGTGGGGTGTGAGATCCTCCTGCTTGAAGCCGAGCTTTTTCATCTTCTTGTAGTACTTTTCCGGGTAGTTGATGATCTCCAACGTATTAGCAGAAGCTGCGTCTGGGTCGTCAATCATGCCGGTGAGAAAGTCGTGCATCGTCTGGTGATATATATCGCCATACGTCTTGAGGATTTTCCACTTTTTGGGCATCAACGGCGTCATGCCCATCTTAACGGCATTCAGGTCGTTGAAGTACCACTTAAGAATCTTGTCGAGCGCTGAAGGGTCGTCCAGGAATTCTCCTCTGGCTTCGTTAAACTGGCCCTCTACACTTATCTTGATGGCCTGTGTGAACTTGTCCTTGTACCCTCGCACCTTTTTCGCGCCGTCCGTGATGCTCTGGAAGCGCGTTGCCATCTCCTTGTGATCCTTGAGCGCCTCTTGCAGTGCTAGCACCCTCTGATCACTCTTCTCTTCAGCCTCAATGACCACGGCGAATCGTACCACTAATCCATTGTTGTCGTTAACCACCAAGTTGATAAGGTTCAGCGCCAGGATCCCAATGTGCTCGTCAAACCAGTCGATCATGGTGTCGAGCCTCTGGAAGTAATCCTCGAGCGTCGATTCCAGGCTCGGGTCTTCTGCCCTCTGTATCTGCTCCATGGCATCGTCTCGAATATTTCTCAGCTGCGTCAACTCGTAGTGAATAGGCAGCAGGTTGGGCATGTTCTCCTTATCCCCCTCGTCCTCGTCTAGCATGCGGTCGACAATGGCAAGCCGCTCATTAAACGTCTCGAGGTTCTTGCGCATGGCCTCGACAGCCCCAAAATTCCGGTGGGCCTGGGAGACGAGGTTAATGCTGTTGAAGTCTTTAATCATGTTCTGCGATTCGGAACATAGGCGATCGATCTTGATCATCTCCTCCTTGATCAGCTGCACCGTCTTCTGGCCGTCTGTCAAGCCCGTCATGCCGGACTGGGTGGTCTCGAGCTGCTCGCGCAAGCCGCTGCGGAGCTGGGAGTCGACGGCTGTTTTCTTACGAGAAAATTCCTGCTTCAGACCGGCAATCTTCTCAAGATCATCTGGGTGGCGGAGGAGCTCCGCGAGCTTAGGGATGGGGGCATCCATAGCGGGCAGGCTCGAGGCAGCGAGGCTTAGGCCGCCAGCTGTCTTCGGCTTGAATTATGAGAAATCTCGTCGATGAATGAGTGTCGATTACTCTATCGGTTGGCTCGGGTATCAGTTGCGCATTCGATATAGAGGGTTCGGGGGTATTTCCACGGCGTCGTCATTAATCATGTCGGTGGATGGTGTTAGGTGTTGGGCTGGGAGGTCATCGCATTGCATGCTGCGACTCGGTTTCGTGTACCTTGCATGGGGTCCAATTCCCACCTCAAGTCCGGCGGCAGGGAAAGGGAGAGCTGGGGAACTTTATTGGTCTGTGCGTTCTTGTCCCGCTGTGAGTGACTTCTGCAGCGGCCTGTGCACTCGAGCTGCCAACGCTGCAGGGCAGCATCTCTACAACAATGGATGAATTGCAACTGTGCCAAAGTGTGATAGGACAGTGTTTGTTTTTTTGTTCTTTTGATAAGGTAGTAAAAGTTCTTTTTCCTCAATTCTATGAAATTCGTGGTATCTCATCCAACTTTCGAATGCCTGCCTCAAGATGCTGTCAGTCCAGGAAATTGCCCCTCCGCTGGATGCTAAGTATGAAAATACACGATGCCTCTAAACTACAAACCAAACACGGATAGCAGGTGCAAAATCCCATTGTCTTATTCAATCATAGACTTTCCAATTTCACTCTGCCAGCCCTCGGCCCTCTCGAACCCATTAGAGTGAGTCTGATAGTCCATGAGGGCTTGATATACCTCGGCTTTAGAGCTCAGGACAAAGGGGCCGTATTGCACGACCTCCTGGTCAAGGGGCGTCCCAGCAATAAGGACGAACCTCGCGTCCTTGTCCGCGCCGGCATCAACCTCGACGTTGACGATCTCGCCGTCCTCCTCAAAGACTACATTGTGGAATTCGTCCACCACCCTCTTCTGCGTCCCCTCGCCAAAAATGGCCTGTCCCTCGAGCGTGTACGCAAAGGCATTCCACCCCTTGGGCACCGGCTGCGCGATCCGGCCGCCGGGCTTGATCTGAACATCCAAGATCCATACGGGCGTGTACGCTAGGTCTCGCACCGAGTCAACCCCGTGGCTCTGGCCCGAGATGACCTTGACGTGGACCTTGCCGCCGTCGACGTCGACGGTGGGGATCTCCTTGGCCCGCAGATCGCGGTACCGCGGCTCGCAGGCCTTTAGGTGCTTGGGCAGGTCCACCCACAGCTGCAAACCGACGTTGGCGCTGCCGTCTGGGTTCTGCTTGGGCATCTCGGCATGCATGATGCCGCGGCCGGCCGTCATGAATTGCAGGTCGCCGGCCTCGATGGTGCCCTTGTTGCCGGCAAAGTCCTCGTGGTCGACACCGCCGTGGAGCAGGTAAGTGATTGTCTCCTGACCGCGGTGGGGGTGGTCCGGGAAGCCCGAGCCGGGGGCGATACGGAAGTGGTCTTGTAATCTCGTGTTAGCAAAGCTTAGACTCTACGTTCAAGGGACGGTCAACATGAAGGAAAATGAGCAGGCCTGGTTGGGGGTGGGGGGCTCATCAATAACTCACCAAGCATCAAAAATGGTGAAAAGTTCTTGAGCTGAGGCGTGCCGATTGAGCGACGAACGCGAGCACCAGCACCCTCAGCCTGTTCAACGGCCAAAAAGACCTTGCGGATCGCGCGAGGGACAGACATGTCGGTGGCGTAAAGGTGATGGTCTACTTGTGCTTCTTGTTGCTGCGAAGACTTGGCTTCAAGGTCGAATACGCTTCCGTTCCGAGTGTTACTCAAAGAGTTGAGAAAGTTCGTTGCTGTCGCGAATGCTGCGCTCACTATGTATTCTCGAAAGGTTACAATCGATGCGATTCCAATGATGATGGATAGCCAGAACGAGAGAGACTTCATTGATGAGGGGCGGTGATCAGGGATAATATATGTAGGCGGATCGCTTCTCAAAGATCTTGGGGATGAGAGTGAGAAGAATCAAGTGTAAGTATTCTAGAAAGGAGAAGATGAATCTATTTGACCAAGGGTCTAGCGATACGTCGGTTCTCTCCACACGGCAAATACTACTCTAGCTTCAGAAAAGGCGGCAAAGCGTACAGCAACAGCATCGTGAGGAATCGTCTTATGCGCTTCTCTGGTAAGCAACAACGCATTAGTCAATTTTACATCAGCAATGGGAAAGCACGTCTCTCACTCTCGTGGCGCGAGCTTCGCCCACCATCTCTACCGGGGTATGGTACCTAGGTACATCCTTAGCGTCTGTCTCGCCCTTCTCATCAAGTTCCTAGCCGATGATCTTTACGTCAGCAATTGACAACCAAGGGACGTGGGGACCTTCAGGAAGCTAAGGTGCTGTGCACCTACAAGTAAGGTCAGGTCGGGAAGCTGCAAACAGTTTGTTCGCTCGTCAAAGTGCTGGCCAATCACCGTGACCAATGATAGCACGCAAGAGCCGCCAATCGACAGCAAGCAACCTTCCCCAGTCGCTCTTTCTCCTCCCCAGGTCTTGCAGTGGGTTGATCTGATCGAGTGCGACTTATTGCTCTAGACTACCTTTACAGACATGAAAAATAGGACATAGAGTTTGGATTACTCTTGAATGCCCTGCACGGTAGCTACTCCGCAGCTTGTGCGTCTACGTACTCCAGGACTCAGGCCTGTGCGAGTAAGCTCCCGTGCTGGCTAGCTTCTTGGTCACCCGGTGCTGCGTCACTCGCAACAGCAAGCTTGGTCAGGGAACACAGCGTGTCTATTATAGATTTTGATTCCTATGAAAAATCCGACACCAACTCCAGCTCCAGCACAAGTTCAACCCTTCGGAAAAAGACTACAACGTCCGCCGAAAGTCAAGCCGTCTTAACCATGCCCATCAACCCTGAGGGAAGATCGGGCGCCTTGGCGGGTGCCATCAGCCACGGAGGGAATAGTCCAAGTCCGATTGGCCTTCGAAAATGAAGGGCCAGAGCGGCGCACTAGATGCCTATCTCTCTCTTCCTCCCTCGTACACCACTGATTGGAACAGACAAAGGAAATCAACATAGCACACCAAAACAGTACATGAAAAACTCTTTATCCGAGGTATAGATTCCGTTCCTTGCTGCATGTCGTAGAAGCGTTCGCCATCATGACTGCGGTCCCAGAACCTGTAAGTGGTTCAAGAATGCCGCGAAGGGAGGGAAGGGTATATGAAATAGAGGCGGGTTGAGGTAAAACGTCGGCAGGCTAGCAAGCTGTACAATCGCGAGCCGTGGCGCTTAGTTGTTGGCCTTCTCATTGACCACTTCCTTGGCCTCCTCCTTCTTGTAGTGGATGACGTCGCCAACCCAGATAATGAGTTCACTGGTGGTGATAAGGGCGGTTCCGATAAGGGCCTTGCCGTACGCAACAACGTTCTCACTGCCGACCTTCTTCTTCTGCTGGCTAAACGTCTTCAGAACGTGGTCCTTGGCTTCGACGCCAGTGCGAATGGGCAGGGCAATGATGCCCTTGGCACCGGCGTACAGCTCCTCGGTGGGCTTCTTGACGACGGGGAAGCGCTCGTCAACCTTGGTCAGGGCCTGGTCGCCGAGGTTGTCTGCCTTTTCGGCATAGGGGCGCAGGTAACCCCAAGGACGGGCGAAGTAAGGGATAAGAGGCTCGGCAAAGGTCTTGTAGGCAGAGTCGCTGTAGACCAGGGACTTCTTGCCGACAGGGTGGTTCCTGAAGGTAACGACACCGTCGTGTACTACAGGGTAATCCAGGAAGTGCTATCCAGGACGGTTAGTAAGAGATTGCGATAAGAGTCAAAATACGGTTGCATTCATTGATAACGCACCTGGAGGGCAGCCGAGGGCACGCTCGGGAGGTCACCGTTGACTTGGGCCATTTTGGGCATTTAGTAGATTGGCGAGAGTTGCGTGGGAAAGTTGAAGTTGTTGATTCGTCAAAGCGTGAAGCCCGTCGAATTCTGGTCGAGGGTTGGAGGAGGATTCGCTGCGGAGTAAGCTCGTGCGCGGGGGGGGGGGGGGGGGGGGGGGGGGGGGGGGGGTGGAGGAGGCGGGGGGGGGGGCCCGGGGGGGGGGGCGGGGGAGGGGGGGGGGGGGTTTGGGACGCAGTTATGATAAAAAAAGGAATAACGCGAGGGGGGGAGGAAAGGGGGGGGGGGGGGCGATGGGGGGGGGGTGGGGGGGGGGGGGGGGGAGCTGGCGGCTTAGGAAAGCTGCGGTTGAGGCTCCGGGATAGGGTCTCGTAGTAGATAGGGGGGGTTTGCTAGACGATTCGATATCAGAACTGATCAAGTCCAGAGCAGGGCGAAAAAGGCCAGGAGAGTGAAGCGAGTCGGGATATGTGTTGGGCGGTAGAATTGGGAGTGTAGGAAGATGGAAAGGCTTTTTGTTGTTGAAGAGGGAAGAATCAAAAGAAGGATGTATAGTAGGGAGGGAAAAGTAGTAGGTAAGTCAAAGCTAAAAGGGAGAGACAAGACGAGACGCACATGAGAGAAGCGTAGAAGGAGGAGGGCAGAAGGGGGAGTGAGTGTGAGAGGAGGAGGAGGGAAACTCACAGATAGCAGCAGAGGGTTGTCGGAGACCGAGAGGCAGCTGGTTGGATGGAGGAGAGGCGGCTGGAACGGAGAAGAGCGTGTACAGATGGGTGGTGACGAGGTTGACGCCACAGACGGGCATGGACTGAAATGAAAGTATTTATCTACGTCTTGGTCGAGACGACAGGTGAGAAGATGAGAGCACGAGAAAGAGCCCACCTCACCACGTCTTGAAGTATGGGGCTGGCCTAACCATGTTGCCTGAACCCCTTAGGATGCGAGACTAGATTGATTAGCATGTGCTTCAGACATTCACAGGTCGAATGCGAGGAAAGGGACGCCCAGGAATGCCGTGGTGGCGGGTCCGGCCCAAGTATCCCTACCAACGAGGTACATGCGCCACATGCCAGTGGGATGTCGTCTTTTTTTCTTTCTTCGTTTGGTCCCTTCTGCTGCTGCTCTGTAGCTATTATTCATGCTATCTTATGTGTTCCTCCCTACAGACTATGCCCCGCAATTTTGGGTCGCTGCTTGCTCTGGTTTTAAAGCAAGGCATTGATGCTACTGTTGAGGTGTTAAAATCGTCTATCTGCTCAATTAATGTTGTGGAGAGTTAATGACAGTTGACATGGCCAGGTAGATGTTCGTGAGGTAAGTAAGGCAAGTGAGGTAGCTGCTCAAGCCACATACATGCAATAGCACCTTGTACTGCTGACGGCAGCTTCAAAAGCACGTATCCCTGTCCGTCCCGCCCGTGGGCAGTAAAACCCGCAGGGCAGGCGCATGTGCACAAGCACCTTACATTGTCGCATTGGTCGTGTAGCTATCTCTCATTGGGAGAAACAGCTTCAGCAGCAACTCTAGCGATGGCAAGAAAAAGGACGCAGCGGTAAGGATATTTCAAGGTAGAACGGACGAATACATTTGGTAAGGCGACCGACAATCCCGTAGTATCAAACTTGTCTGTAGCTGTAGCAAGCAACAGCAGCAGCACCAACAATAGCTCGCATGCGTCCCTATCGCGACCCCGGCTTCTGACATGTGAAAGTGGTACACGAACTCTCGCCCCGCCAAATCGTGTCAAAGTGGAATGCTGGAAGGGACGGAGAGAGTCAAAAAAGAAGGCAAAAGAGGGTCTCGGCCGTGACAACTGGACAGGGCACCTTTTTATTTTATTTTCTTCGTCATGTCGATTCTACGGTCAGCAGATAGGTACACTAAACATATGATCCATCCCCATGTTCCATGGTTGAAAAATCGCGTTATGCTTAAGGGCTCCAGGAGCAGGCATGTGATCCAGTCCAAGAGACGAAACGGGTGGTAAGGCAAAGGTGAGGAGGAGGAGGAGGAGGAGCAGAAGAAGGAGGGGATAAGCTCCCACACTCGAGCAGTCCCGTCACAAACTCGCAGTCGCAGCCGCGTTCCTGAGATGCTCAAGTGCTGTGTGCCCTTCGAATTGTTGGCCAATTCGGTTGCGTCTGGATCAGACCATTGATGATTGCAGCTCTCCAACGAATGAACGGAATCGCCCCTCTCTCTCTCCCCTCTCCTTCCTTCCGGCACGGAAGACATACGCGAACGCACGGCGCTTTCCTGCATGCCGTGGACGGTCCCGTCATTATGTCATCATTGGAGTTGATGGTGCAAGCAGCAAGTCAGCAGCAAGAAGGAAGCATGGGAGGGGAGGGGAGGGGAGCTGCTCTTGCTCTTGAGGTACTCTAAGGTGAGTAGTCGACCACCTACCATAGGTACGGAGAACTGCCACACCGAAAGGGAGACGGGAGAGGAAAGAAGCGCCCGGTCAACAAGTCGCTGCTCAACACGTATGCGTGCCTTATCTGACAGTTTGCCGGAGCACCCGCTGATCTGTGTCCTCGCGGACGGGTTACTTCCACCCACCACCTCTACACTCGTGTCCAGTCTGTGAGTTGCGGCTTGCTGGATCATGGACGACATGAGGCGCTTTGAATGACATCTGCCTCGAGCTGTCATGCATTGATTATTCAGTCATTCATTTCTGCAGAAGCGGTGGTTCGTTCGGAGGATGATCTCCGCCGTAACTATTCTCGTTCCCCTTTCCTACCTCTTGATACAGTACTCTTGTCTCCTTAACCTCACTTTCCCCTGCTTCGCGAACACGACGTACGGATAGGTATACCATCTCAAGTATCAAGAAGGCGCAAGAGACCCCCAAGTTCCTCCCGCAACCCAATTGGCCATGCGCCCACCCCGGCTTATCGCTTCACATCACCCCAAACTTTATCACGGGGAGATCCCAAGCCAACGGCTGGCGCTCGTCCTGCACCACCACGCCCTAGGCCCAAATAGCGGGACACAGCAAGCCAAATTGGAGGACGAAGCTTTGCACTCTTCTTCACCTCTCGGGGCTCTTGTTGCTTTCTCCTCATCCAAAAATCCCTCCGTCGCGTACCGACTAGCCCAAGGTACCTGACCTTGCGCTAGCCTTGTGGCAGACGCTTGGATGCGATGCTATGCGGTCCGGTCTTCAGCCCACTCGAGCTTGTGTGAGGTGGACCGTGGGAGGGGGAGGCCCGGGAGGGGCCTCTCTGCGCCTCCCATCTTGCATTCCGTTGCTTGTGAAGCTCCTCGTCCTGGCGCTGTTTTCTCCTACGGAATCTACATTGGCTGTCTTCGTAATGCTGGATGACGCCGTCGCTGCTCTCCCAGAAATTAGATATAACTTGACCCGTGACACACCACTAAGTACGCCAGTCACCCTTCCCAATCTCCAATTTTGTTCCGTGAAGCTATGGCCTCTATTATCTCTTGATGAGCACAGAAGCTAGGTACTCAATCACTCAAACCCGTCAGACGAAATTCGCCTCTCGGAACTCGGGCTGTGGCCATCCTTTCCTAGACACGCTGCCGCGGCTCTCATCGCCGGCCATACCGTCTTCGTCCAGCTTGGCCGGGTGAACAATCAATTGGCACCTCGGAAGCCAAGCATTGAGGACGACGTGAATCCACCTATCTGTACGCCGTCGCCACTTTCAGTCGGTCTCTTCTCTCACTTGACTGGCCATCGACGCGACGACCCGTTTCTCGTCTTCCCACTATAAGCAATACTCGGCCGTTTTCTACTCCTATCCGTCAAAGATAAACCTGAAAATTATCGGATAATTTGGATGAGGGGGGGGGGGGGGGGGAGGCGGCGAACCTTCCCTGTACCCTGATAGCGTTCTCTCAATTGTCTCCACCTGCACCAGCCACATGTGCCCACATTCACATGTCAAGCAATGTCTCGCCTACCTGCAGGGACAACCTCAACGTTGAGAGCTCTTGCGTCGCATTCTGCATGACAGTGAGAAGTGACGTGAACACCTGCGGCACCTTTTTCGCCAGTATGAGAAGCTATAGATGCTGGTAGGAACTGACGAAAGGTCGGATGACGCGGGAGCAAAAGGCATTGTTTTGGCTTTCGTGTTCTGCTGTCATGTTTTGCAGTCCTCTTCGAATTCGTCATTCTGTAAGTCTGCGACAAATCGTCATAATCCTGAGGCGCGAATGCGCTCCCAACGTCACGGGCTAGTCTTTCAGGAGAGACATAACATCAAAGGTGTGCAGAGGCGGGAGGGAGCACTCACCTCCCGTCCCATCCATCCCTTGCGAAGGCGAGTAGGCATCCGTACACACACACGCTTTCCTCCCACAGATGTTGGACGGGTGTGGATGCCCCTGCATCTTGCGTGGGAACTCAGCATTTTGGAAGTGTGCCATCCACCTCAGTTGTTGGAAGGAACGCTTCCTTCTGCAACGTAAGTGGGAAAAGAAGAAGAAAAAAGAGGACCAGTTCGCCACCTCACCCGATGGGAATGCGGCACTTCGCAAGTCTTGGCTGGGCTCGTCGGCCTTGACTTTGCTTTGCATAGCCGAAGGGCCTCTTGACCGCTCCGGCTGACTGGCAAGCGCGAAATTGCGGCGGTCCAATATTGTTGATCTCGATGCTCGGACTCGGGTCCCGGGAAAAGAGGGGGCAAGATCCGAAGGCTCCGATTTGTATGCAGAATACGGCCCCATAATATCTCCGCATCCGATCCGTCATGGCCGGGGATGGGAGGAGGGAATTCTGGTGTTGGACTTGCGCTGGAAGCTGGCTTCATAATAATTCGACAGAAGCCATTGTGTTCCATAGGATACCTGCAACGTGTTTGAGCTCCGGCTACTGCTTCATGGAATATGATCCGAGCCAAAGGTTGGCGGGTACGGTACGTCCAATGGCACCGAAACTGGGAAAAGTTGACCGATCTGGTTTTTGGGAAGATTCGCCTGATGAATTTGAAACTTCCGTACGACACTGGACGAGGGTGGTTTTGTTGATGAATCAATTCCTAGAGGCGGCCTTGTAATGGTTGACTTCTTTGAATCTTTTCCTTGACAAAGAAAATAGAGGCGCCACAAATAGGTGGCCAAAGTGGCCTCATCAAGCTCCACGAGCTTCGCAAGCTTCGTCAACTAGAGGCCTTTCAACCAGAAGTTTGATCAGACTCGTGCCGCTACAGATGAAATCCCCTACCAATACCCGCTAGTGTCGTCGGTAAGTGGAATCAAAACGGCTTTGCCCGAAGAAAAACAATAGAATAATTCCTCGTCTCCGAGAATGACTCGATGATGCAAAGAGCCGGTTGCTCAGGTTCATTGTTTCGAAACATGAGTCTAGATCTTTTGCCCAGGGCCAGCTCGTGGACTCGACCACTCCCACCACGGAGCGTCCGTGGCTAGCAATGATGCCGTAGCCCCGTCGTTGAACCTTCCTAGACCAGCATAGCAAACCGTCTTGCCTTGGAATAGCATCGCGCCGTCCTCCCGGCCCACGAGTCTCGCCCCGTGTCGATCGCGCGGCTCGGCTGGCTGGGAAAGACGGTTGCCAAGCCTGGTAGAAACTCGCGGACAAGGCACGGGTTCGGTATCTTGCGGAGACAGAATTCATGCTCCTACGGTAGGCCGTTTGGTCGCAAGTGCTAGTGCCCTCTCGGCATATTGTTGGTGCCTGTTGGTGCCTGTTGGGTTGGTTTGATATCGTCAACATCCGAAGCTTGAGCCAGCGAAGGCTCTACGTCGAGTCACGAAGCATAGTTGGACTTTGGCCGGGGATCCCGATATTGCAACACGATGTGATGTTGACAAAGGCTTCCGCAGGTGATAGATCACCAGCAATCGAAAAGGCCAAGAATCCGCGCAGCGTGGGAGTCTCAGAGATGACTCATGGCCCATGGGATACTCGCCCGAGGACAACGGGGGGTACTCGAACGAACGAAGGCTCTTCGTCGAGAAACGAACCGGATTTTTTGGGGCTCCTGGCAGCAGTCAGTATTGATTTCCAAACACCTCAGGACGAACTCGTCGCACGGTCTGTTCGGGAGATACGAAATGCTGACCTTGACTGTCAAGGTTTAAGTGAACCACCTCTTATCACCTTTTCAAAGAAATGACGGCTCACAGCTTCGAGGGACAGTGCGCCAAGACCTCATTTATCATGGGCTGAGGTACTTCGTATTGAGCGGTTAGCAAGGCTTGGGCATATCGTCCATCTGTCCATGCTACCGGGGCTACCGGGAAGGGCGTGACCGTTGAAATAAGTTTCATTGTGATCAAATTGTCACATACGTAGTATACTCGAGGAACTCGAGCTGCAAATGAAATTGCGCAGACGAGAACCATGCTGCCTATCGCTGACTACATCACAGTCACATTTCAGGATCAAGGCGTTGTAATGGCCTTGAGCTCTGAGGTTCTCGGCAGCAAGTCTCTCTCTAATCTTGTTTTACCGCGTTTGGGCCTTTTCCCTCTTTCTTTTTCTTCCCTTCTCTCGTTTGACGAAGTGACGGCACAATCGGGTAGGTACGTACCGAAAAGACCAGGGTTTCTCATCAATAACGGTGTCAGAGCCAGGGATGCGGATGGAGACTTTGACCTAATACCACTTTCACGGTCGGTGTTTGCAGCCTGCAGGAGGACTAAGTGGATTTGGGTAGGGTGTTTGCCCACATGCGGACTTTGGATCAAAGAGATCGAAACCAGCCTCAGATAGATAGAAGACGGGGATCGCCCGAGAGCCCGCTGTCGAATATTCAGCAAGATGGGGAGCTGGCAGTCTGGAACTGCCCCGTTGCTGTTGCTGTATGTAACTGACCCTCAGTGAATCAGTGCGGTGCGTATGTACGAGATAAGACAGCGATCAGGGCCTCGGGACTCGTGCTCAGATCACGACCAGGTCCAGGTCGGTTCTTCGGTGGAGCGCGCAGCTGACAAGTGCAAATTGATCTAGAGCTGGGTGGTACCAACAAGTTGCAACTGCAAGAAGAGAGCTGGGGCCACCAACAGTGAAAGACAAAGAGTACGGAGTAGTGGAAGTCTTCTTTCTCAAAAAAGATTCACAATCCATCCCCCCTTCTTTGGACGTTCTCCCAGCCTCTAGGACTGTAAGCACCAAAGTCTCCGCCGTATAGCCAGGTAAAGTCGGAGCAACATGGAACTGGACCTGTCTCCGGCCCGTGGGGGACCATCGTTCGGGTTACAGATCCACGGCTTGCGTTTTATGCGGGCCATTAATACAGGTAGCCAGGCCTTAACACGGACGAGATATCTAAAGTCGCTGAGTGCTCCGGCCCCGAAGGAGCCAGCCAGGTTCGTGCCAGCGTCACCCAAACTGCCAGATTCTCCTGGTATCCAGAGCGGCGGGTCAAAGCGCCCTGATGGATGTGGCGCTTTTCAGACAATGGCGGTAGTGCAAGTCGGGCCGCGTCTGCTGTAAATGACAGGCGGAGTTCGAGGCTTCAGGACAATTGGACGGCTTATTCGAACGATGATGCGTATGGCTGGCTTTGGTGGATAAGCGGGCACCTCCAGTTCCAGGCCACGGGAGACAGATTGACGTGCTGAGCTTCTGGAAGTGAAGGAGCAGATTTCAATATATCTGGTACATTTAGATAAGTAAGCATACATCCATGGGTTCGAGGAAGCAAACCCCGCCCACCAACAGACAGCAGTTGGTAAATTGGTACATACTAGTCCTTTTTAGTTTGTCTCTCTGGAGAGATCCCGACGGGTGCTTGCGGTCCATCAAAGACCTTGTTTAAATAGAGTGAGCAGCTCCCACTTTCGCAAAGATTGTACGCCATTTGTTGATGAGGCCCATTCGTTAGCGCGGCTGGCGCTTCGTTGATGTCCGGCGACAGAGTGTATGGATACTTTGCAGGCTGCACTGACAATCTCATGCCAAGCACCAACAGCTTTGCCTCCACCAGGCGGAAGCCATAGGTAATTAGATCGCCGTTCATGTATCCGTAGACCAAGGCAGCATCGGGCTGGGTCGCGGGGCTTTCGGCGTGTTCTGCTTCTTCTGCCCTCTGTCGTGACCCATTTCCCGTAGCCTCCAGTCGTTCCGCAACCCGGCCTACTTGATTTGAGATCTTTTTTCTCCGTCGCGGAACCAAGGAGGCCCCTGATAGAAGAAAATGCGAAGCCGCCACAGATGAATCGCGTCGCGGAAGATACTGAACAGAGACTTGGTGCCATGAGACCAAGTCCCCGCCCCGGCAAACCGCCCACTTCGGCCCCCGGGGCCTAGCGTGGACGCCATGATTTCCTCGCACTATACGCCTGCTAAGGCCCGATGGCTCGCAGCTGGCTGACAGGCGTAGCGCTTGTGCTAGAGTATGTGCGACAGCTATCGCTAACACAGTGATAGTGAAAAATGTCAGTATTCTTATATCAAGGGCCGCGTCTTGCTGGCACAACAGTGCAGCAACCCATACGGATCTGTCCCCTCGTCAAACACTCAAGCCTCTGTTTGTGTGGGATGTGCTGCAGGTGCGTCGATCTGGGTTCGTTGGTCGTGGACACCCCTTCAGCCAACCAGCCGAGGAGCGACCAGGAGCTGTCGAGTTATCCCGTCCCAGACTCCAGGGACGACCCGTGCAAGGAGAGCGTGTCTTGGGGGGATCAGAGATGGGGCTTGAGCGCTTCGGCAGATGATCTTTCTTGAGCTTGAATTCGTCATCCATCTGGAGAAGGCCCCTTGAGGGTTGCATTTTGTGCGCGTTATTTTGCAGGATGGCTGGCACGGCTGGAACAGTGGAAAGTTGGTATGTACGCCGCACGTTGGGTAACTTGGGTTCTCACGCCCGCTCGGATGCCTTTTCCCTCGGTGATTTACGTTTGCGCTGGAGTGCCATCGAAAGTGCTGTATGGAGACGGGTCAAAGTCATGATTCGTTGTCGGAGGACATGGCACATGGTAACACCGTAACATGGACCTTCGTGTCGGAAGGTCTGCCCAGCATGCTATGCGTGGAATTGCATAATCGTATCGAGCTGATGTTTAATGATCTCCCTGGCCAAAGAACAGGCGGATCAGCAGAGTGCTATTCCGTCCAAACTTTTGAGGCGTTCCTACCATAAAAAAAAATTACCGTATCGCCGGTCCGTCCACCAAGTACTTCGTACGACACACCCCATTCGCTCGTCAGGCGAAAAGAAAGTATCTGTGAGCGGCGCGCCGGAGTACAGACGAGGGCGAAAGTGGGCGCCGCCCCAAGAAGAGCGAGACGTGAAGGGTTTGGCGGACGGTAAGACGATGCCAGCACTGACAAAGAGGCTTCAGACCGGGGACGACAATCGCGACCCAAAGCAGGTAGCTGTCATCGTTTTAGGCCCAATAAACCAGGGAACTGGTGTAGTCGCCAATCATCCCGTGGGACTGTGGTGAGGAAGAGGCGACAGAATTTCCAAACGAGGCTTGCCAATTTCTTTCGAGAGCAGTTGGTACTGAGCGGCGCCAGCTGTGACTGTCATTGGCTGTAAATCGTCAGTCTCCACCAGCCAAAGGTGGGGATCCAATATTAGGAGAACGACCAAGAAGGTCCAGATTTTGGCAAGGGTCTTTCTGGATTTGACCGGGGGTTTCTCCCTCATCCACTTCTTCTTTGGAAGGAGAGGCCCGTGCGTGTGATGGATGGGACCTGACGAGAATATGCCTTACTCTGTACATACGGAGTACAGCAGAAGAAGACTGTCAAAAAGAGAATGATGAAAGTACCTTTGGCCACGACTCTTCAGTCATCGAGGGGATTGGGGCGAATGAACACCAAAGGATGGAAGGGAAAGAAGGGAGAAAAACGAGGGAAAGAGATTGAAGCCGCTAACGCGGCGCCGCATGACGCTAGTATTTCACAAGTGCACGCTAGCTCCTCACATCTTCGCGGGCTCCCACGAGTCGACTTGAATCTCTGGAGGAGTCAAGGAGTCTAGGTCGCCGCTACAACTGCAGCTTCTGCTGAGAGGCTTGACGGCTTGCAATCCCCGGAGCCAACGGGAACGGCAGAGAACAAAGACACGACTCGACGGCTCTCTGGCCGGTGTCGAGTGTCAGATGGAAATGGAAAAAAAAAAAATTAGCTCTTTGCTTCTGCCGATTGGGCTGAACTTGTGAAGCGACTGATTCGACCGACCATCGGATCGTTTTGAGGGGCTTACTTACTGCACGAATTGCAGTAGTTTGGAATTTGGGGTTCTTTGCTGCTGTTGCTGCTATTTACAAAAGTAACAAAAGTAAGTAGCGCCTCAATAGATAGCAAATTGCCCGAAGCGGCTTTGTTTCGTTTTGTCTTTTATTGTCTTCCTTTAACCGCTCGTTCCAACGGTTCTTCTGTCTGAGATGCCCGAATCACGCTTGGCTCTTTTGGGGCTTGGTTGGTATCCGTAAGTACTGATGGGATGAGTTCGTCTTGCTTTCCCCTGTTCCAGCTGCCATGTGTCGCGTTTGCCACTTTCATATCGAGGTTAATGTCACGCTTTCAGTGAGAATCGGTATTTGGAAGCCGAATAAGCTATTGGAAGCTCTAACTGGACTTGCTTGGCTTTTGTCGATCGACTGGACTGGTTCGTTTCCTCGTCGCGGCGCATAGCGGAGCCGGTACGGAGTAATGTCTCACTCAGTACACAAAGGAAATACATAGTAGAGAAAGAGAGAGAAACGGTTTTCCACGTCAGGGTCCTCTTATTGTCTGGAGTTTTGAACTGGCCCTTAGCTTGGGCAAGCATCGGCTTCACTTGTCATCCTCTACCGACCTCGATACAATCCTGTATCCGTAGCCGTCCTGCGTATCTGTCTGTACCTTGGGTCACGAATAGTGCGAGTGCGAGTGAGTGAGGTGAGCCAGGTAGCGCTGTCCAATTCCAAACACCAGGAGCCCAAGGTGCCGTATGGAAGAGTATCATGCCATGCCCGCCTCCAGCCCGAAATGTAACAGCAGCAACTGCAAGAGTCAAACCCCCGGAACAGTCCCCATTGCCAGAGCCACGCCGCCATGGAGCAACTTCAATTTGACGACCCGTGAAGCTGCCGTCTCCATCTGGCGCGTGGTTGGCGTGCCCATCACAATGCCCCTCTTGTTCCCAACGTCAGCAGTAACAGCCCTCAGAATGTATAATGGGCGGTACTTGGTCTGTACCTTGCAGATATCAAGTTGGAGCCTTCCTTCCATGAAAGTTGAGCAAATGGTGTGACCCCTGTCCGCGTGTTCCTGAACCCCACCTCACCTTATCCCCTGTCGAACAGTGGTACCGCAACACTGCGCTGCATGCCCCCTTGCACACCCGTCCTCTGCCCCATCTGTGTCCCGCCTGTACCTGCGAACGGCTGTTCTCCGTGCTTCTCTCCCCTCACAGTGCTCCCTGATCACCTCTTCTACACAGTAAGGTACCTGAGGTAGTTGTGGCTTCATGTCCCGGCAGGCAACTCACTCAGGCTAGCACTACCTATATTATTACTGCTCCCTTAGGTTTCCTTGCTGAGTTGGGGCCCCGTGGTTTCTACTGTAAGGTAAGGTACCTATCCGTATGGATACGGAGTACTCGTCAAATTCTGCGGTTGGTTGTAGTGAGCTCCCTAAGGACTCGGCATGGCAAGGTATCTGCCCACGCTGTTCTGCCTTGAGATGCGCTAAGAATACCGGCCAAGGTATATCATTGGAACCTGCATCTAGGAACCTGACTACTGCGTACGCTGCTGCACGTTGGCTGCAGACCTTAATTCCCCGTCCCCCGGCCTGCTGCTCTCAATGGAAAGTCGCTGCTACATCTCTTGGCCTGCCCGCCCGTGTTTCTGTCCTCGCCCCTGTCTCTGCCCATCTCTTCTCTGCCTGCTCCCCGCCGTACGCACACACGGCCACACAGTTTGTCCTCTGACCTGCCGTGCCTGTGCCTGTGCCTGCCTTTACACTAAAGGTGGACACTCCGTACTGCTGCTGCTCGACCGTACACTTCCCTTTCCAGCTTCGCGTCGGGTGCTTGGTCCCCCTTTCGCTTCATCTTAGCTCGCCCGCCAGTGGCACACCCTCGTTTTCTCGCCATCTGCCTCTTGTTTCTCCCACACACCCTCTCCTTCGCCCTCACTTCTCCCCCCTCCCCGTCCTCCTATTCAAACACCCCCCCTGGACACCACTCTCCCCTTTTACCTCAGCTGGAACTGCCTCTTCTTGCCTCGTCTCCGATTTCTTTCCCTTCCTCCCTCTCTCCTTTCTTGTTTCTTCTCTCCCCACCTGTCACCGAGCAGTCAGTCAGTCAGTCAACCAAGCAGTCTGTGCTAGAGCCTCAACTTTCGCTCAACCAGACCAGACAATTCAAGTTGCTCCTTGAGGCTCCTTCGAATGGCGCCTTTTTGAGCAACTCCTTCGACCGACGACTCCTTGACGAGAGCTTGCTCTCTGGATAGCTTCCTTGCCGTCTTTGATTCATCCAATCAAGCCAGGCCCTTTTCCTTCGACACGCTGGTCAGCTCGTGTGTGGCCCGGATCATTAACCACCTCGTCACCTTCTCCTTCGCTCTCACGTCCACCTATATAACTTCAAGATAACTTTTCTTTCTTAACGACGACTAATAACCGACGAAATGGCGCCTTCGCTGAACGCACACTCGTCCTTCACCCGGCCCCGGACCGGCGACCGCGATGGTCGACCTACCACCCGTGATCAGGGAGACAACAACCTCATTATCCCGAGCCGTACTTCCTCCCTTCACTCGCGCATCACCCAGCCGATTCCCTCGACCTTGAATGCGAAGCCCCAGCAGCGCACCCCAAAGACGCTTACTCACGCCTACATGGTATGCGGTGTTGGCAGAGAACCTTCGCAATGGGTCAAGGCCCCAGCCCCTGCACAGGGCAAGATTGGCCACATGAAGGGCGCTGTTGGTCAATTCTGGCTGCCCGAGATTCTTGGAAGCAGCCCGAGGTTGGAGCAAGACAACGAGATCGCCAGGTCGTTGCACGCTGCCATGCGGGTTAGTGGCTGTCTGCCATAAGTTTTGTCTAGAGTTTGAGTGGCTGACATTTTACAGGCTTGCTTTCCCCACGACGTTGAGATCTGCACTGGCCGCAGCCAGCCTCACTGCGTCCACCATGCCTTCGTTCTACAGCAAGACTCGTCCCACACTTTGTATGGAATCTGTCTTCGCGTATGGTCGCGAGCCGACGAGAAGAGGGCCGAGACAATTCGGGATCTGCGTAAAAGAACTGAACCAGACTATTACGACAACCCCGATGAGACTTACTGGATTCCCTACTGCTTGTCATTCCTGTCTCGGTACCCGCTGTACAACCTTCTTGGAGACTACTTGCGAGGCATGTGGATCCACTGGAACAAGGCTACTAACTTGTTCCACGCCGAGGAGGTCTCGCGCATTCTCAGCTTTCCAGCTCCGAGACTCAACGACTTGGTTCGCATTGACATGAAAGATTATGCTCTTTGCTACCAATTCCCCTCGTCGCCTACTGGCTTCCAGAACTTCGCCATGTGGCCACTGTTCTGCTGCTTGTCCATCCCCAACATTGTGGGTGTCGTTGAGGCCGCCATTTCACCAACTCGTCGCATCATCTTTGTCAGTCACTACCCGGCCATGCTCACCATGGCTGCAGAGACTGTTAGATACTGCGTTCGCGTCTACGAATGGAGTGGCCTCTATGTCCCAGTTGTGCATGCTCGCCATGCCAAGGATTTAGTTCAGGAGCCCGGTCCATATATCCTCGGTGTCACGGCCGAGTGCCGCTCCTTGTTCACCGCGCCAACGGATGCTCTGGTTGTTGACCTCGACCGCAACTTCGTTCTCACTTCCAGCCCCCCGACCGCACTCAACCCCAGCCAGCGTAACAAGTTCGTCACCCGCCTGACACAGTCTCTCAACGGAGATGTGACTCCCTCCGGCGTTCCCCCTCATCTCCGCTCCGCTTACGGTGGCGGCAAGCTCGTCCCCGCCGGCCAGATCATTGTTATGCGTGGAGAAGTCGAGTCCATCCAAGATCCCGAATGGTGGAACCAGGATACTGTTATGGCCGTCATGGATCATGTCTGCGAGAAGATGGGCCGCAACACGGGCATCAAGGCTGTCTTTGGTGGCTCCGTCAAGAAGCCCTTGATGACCAAGGTCTCGATGAGACATCTCAACGAGATTGTCCGCGAGAGAAACCAGTACTCCCGTGATGCTCTCGAGGCTTGGCAGGACTTCATCAACCTGAAGGGCCGCATGGATACCGAGCTCAACAAGGTCACAAAACGCAACAACTATCTCAACGAGGAGCTGGAGAGCTGGAAGCAGCAGTTCCTTAAGTTCCAGGCATTTGCTGAACAGCTCACCAAGGAGACCCAGGATCTCAAGGCCAAGATCGAAACTCACAAGAGGGAGAACAGACGCCTTGCAGGTCTCATTGATCAGCAGAAGGATGACAACGGTCGTCTCAATGTCCGTCTCGGTGCTACTGAGAAGCAGCGTGATGACGCTCTCGAAGCATTGGTCCTCCAACAGGAGATCGCCGAGGAACTCGAGCGCGAGCGTAAGCGGAACAAGAAGGAGCTTGCTGCTCTTCAGCACACCAACGTCACCATCCTCAGACAGCGTGACGAGGCTCGCCGTGTTGTGCTGCATCTGCGCAGCTTGATTGGCGGCCAGAGCCATCACATGGAGCATCTGGTTCAATCTCTGACCAAGCCCGATGACTTGGCGCACGAAATCGAGGAAGGCTTCGAGCCAGAGATGGGTGAGGATGGCATCACTCCCAGAGAAGCCGACGTCAACCAGGCCCGCCTCCTCTCTGCCGCCGCTGAGGCGAACAAGAGGCTCTCCACTTCGAGCTTCAAGGATGTGGCCGATCGCCACCTCAAGGACAAGACTGATGCCATCGCGCACATTATTAGAAACATTGCCGAGCAATGCCAGGCTGCCGTTGAGGGCCTGCAGTTGGCCCAAGACGCCGACTTTGATGAGCGCTCTGCTAGCGCGGCACGCCTTCGCGCCCAGCGCCGTCGCAGCAACCTCTCCGCCACCCACAGCGATGACGGTCACGAGACTCAGTCAAACGCAACATCTGACATGGGCGAAGATAGCCTCCTTCACCCTGCTTCTGGTCGGATATCCAGCATCCCCCCCACCCCGGACCTGGTCCCCAACCGGAGTAGCACAGCGATGTCCTTCGCTTCCAGCGCTGCAACTCCCGAGCGCTCAAGTCAGCAGTATATGATCCATCAGGACATCCCTACCAAGATTGTTGAGGATGATGAGGACTTCGAGGAGGATCGCAGCGAGTCCGAGACGATGCCTCAGCAGACCGTCGGTAAGCACACCGACAGCCTGATCCACCGTCCGTCTGGAGCACGCATCAGCGCTCTTGGCGGTACCCGCTGAAGAACTATCTTTGGCGGTTTTGATTTACTCTATTCGGAGTAACAAGCGGCTAAAGAGAATTTACTTTCTCTCTCTTTGCCGATGGGGAGGACGATTTACCGACATTGTGCATACACTTTTTTACCTGATACCTTTTTGCACCTGTGTGGTCGTGGACAAAATTTCGTTGTGTCCGGCGTTTGCAATTTTCATATTCCTGTCTTTCTCAAGAGACGAATGTTTTGGCTTTTTTTTTTCTTCCTGTGAAAGCTGAACAGGGCTCGCTGGTGTCCGGATTGGATGTTATCACGATTTTTATATCATTTGTATCCCAAGGGAGGAGCCTTCTGCTTAGTTCAATTCATGTCCCTCCTTATTATCTAGTACCCACAATCCGAATCCAGCGAGAGTTGAAGGAAACTACCGTTTCAAGTATGAATGCGCGTGATGTCAATGAGTATACTGAGTGGACTGAATTACCTCGCGATCTGACAGGTATACCTTGTCCTGTGACCCAATATCTATCATGTTTTAATTCCCAAGCCAAAGGGCGTGGGTGTCTTTTCGGGCTGAAGGGTACGACAACGGCGAAATATGCGAGTTTTGATATCATCGCAGTTTCAGAGGAGGCTGTTTAGCTCCCTCACCCTGCTGAAGCCCTCGTCTGAGTGATACTTGAAGACCTATGTTGGCTTGCACGTACTTAGGAGGGTCCGTCTTGCTCACATCGACCCAGACGGTATCCTGTTGCGCTCCGCTGGTACTGCGATTACTACCAACGAACTCACAATGATGTGATAATAGAGAAGATATTGAAAAGACTGACGACGACTGATATGTCGCTTTGAAGTGCTCAGGAGACTAATTTGATGTTGTATCCACACTAATGATCTAAGTCAGAGACATTGAGGCCGTAACAGTGTGTTTGCCTAGAAGGCGTTGAAAGATAACGGATCTTTGAAAGGCCCCTACTATTCAGCACATCAATGCGTCACATGAAGTGACGGATCAATTGGAACGTGATGACTTGGGGAAACGTGATGGCGTTCGCGAGTTCACCCAGCTGGCGGTAGCAGATTCATGCCGACTACCAAGCACCTGTACAAGCCAACTTTAATGGTCACTCCGAACAGAATAGCAAGAAAATGGCAGAGATACTGGCTATGGTCTTAGACTTCGTCTGGCCCTGCCAATCAAGACTGGGCTTCGTCAGGCAACTTCACAGTTGCGCAAGTCGCGCCAACTGCTTTGGAGACATGGCAGCACTTCCATTGGATGTAGCCTGTTTCTCGCAAATACAACCAGCTGGGATAAGAAGTGATTACTCTATAGCAGGGAGGTGAAATACCTCAACGATAGCCGGTCAGCCCGCGCTTTCTCTACTTTCGCTTCATCGTTGCGCTCGTCCACATCATGGACAGCAAAAAGGCCGGCTGGCAGGAGGTGTGGTAGACACACGTCCATTAGGTCCCATGCTCAGCCTCATCAGCCTACATGGGAAGAAGTCTGATCATCGCCATATAGACATACCCCGGCGCAGGCTCATCTGACTTTTGTGGACTCTTGACTAGACGGGCATGGCTATGAAGTCTTGCGGGTGATACAAAATACCCCTGAGGAAATGAGAGAGTGTTGCCCTAATTTTCCTTCCACAATATCATGCTCAAGTCAACACCCCTTTCATCTATCGTGTAAAGGCCTTCCTCTCTCATCAGGTGAGTGACGCCCATATTCGCTTGGGGCAGTAGCTATTTTCTTTCGAGAACGAACCCGTCCGACTGAAGTACTGGAGTTGCCTACGGAGAGTGGGCCCGATTCCGACAACAATCCCACAGTATCATAGAGCGGGGTAAGACAGAGAAGACAGCCGTTTCTTCCATCAATAGTACAGTCATCTCTAACATGAAAGTTTCACGATTTTCGAGTACTGGCGAACCCTGGCTCTATTGAAATGTCTTGATGCGACCTTGGGTATCGGTGCAACGGTGCCGGAAGATGTATTTCGCCGGCAATGTGACGTCTAGGTGGATACAGATCCTCTAACACCGCTAAGCTAGCGATAAGCTAGCGATAACAGAAAAAGTTCCTGGACCGAGTCTGCGTACTGGGTTTGGACATCCTCTTCAGCATTACAAGCCCGTCACGACCTCCCAGATAGCAATTGAGCTATGACTTCACACTCTCTAGTGTATTAGTTCAATTCTTGATTTCGGCTGTATCTATTGTCTATTTCCACAACCGCCAATACGCACACGAAAGCGGCTATGGCCGACCCCCTCCTCACAAGCCTTTGCGCAATCTGCCACATCGAGCCCCCCAAATACAAGTGCCCGCGATGCACCCTCCAAACCTGCTCCCTGACCTGCACGAAGCGCCACAAGTCCTGGTCCCAGTGTAACGGCATTCGCGACGCGACGGCCTACATCCCGCCCTCGAAGCTAAAGACCGCCGCGGGCGTCGACCACGACTTCAACTTTCTTTCAGGCATCGAGCGCGCCGTCCAGCGTTCCGAAAAGGAGATTATCGAGGAGCGGCACCTCCTGAAACCCGAGGACCTGCGGCCGGTCGAGGTGCGCAGCGTGCAGTGGAAGACGGGCCGCGATGGGCGCAAGAAGAGAGTCATGGTCACCGAGGTCCTGCGGGGGGACAGCGGCACAGGAGGCGCGCGGTACGAGGCGCTCTCCAGCATACCCTTCAAGAAGAGGTTGGCTACTTTTGGGATCCTACTGAAGCGTGCGCCGGTGGGAATGGTTAGACAGAAGGAGAACGGGACCAACTTCAGCAAAGCCTCTGGCAGAATCAATTGGCAGATTGAATGGCTTCTCACTTCGTCCACAGACACAAAGACACCATCACAACAGCAGGAGAGCGTGGGGAACACCGATACAACAACGATAAAGAGGGTACTAGCAAAGGCACTTGACGACGTGCCACTTTACAAGGCCTTCGTCACGGGGCAGAAATTGTTCAACGACGAGCAGACCAGAAAGGAACAGCAACGACAGCAACCACCAGACGACGACGACGACGAGACTCAGGAAGCCAATACTCACATCGGCGGCCCCGGCCGAAACAAGAAGCGCCGCAAGAACCAACACAAACCAGGCCAGTCCATTGCCACGGCCCAAGACACGGAGACGGGAGCCTGGCACCCCGGCCGATTCTTCATGCAGTCCACTCCGCGCAGTACCTGGGCTTCTCACACCGGCGTCCAGCCATTCACGGGCACAACGGAGGAGGAAGAGGCGCAAAAGACGAGGTACAGGTTCTACGTCGCGGGTACGACCTCCGCGGCGACGGCAGCCACGGGCAAGACGGTCGTCCACCCTGTGGAGGCAACGACGCCCCTCGGCGAGGCCCTGCGCGACATGACGGTGCCGGAGTTCCCTACAATCTACGTAGTTGAAGCTGGAGCGGCCCTACCGGCGACCTTACTCCCGGAACCGAAGCCGATGCGCCTCATTCCCAAACGGAAGCACGAGAGCAACGGTAGAAGGGCAGACGGCGGCGGCAAGGCCAAGAGACTTCGCAAGAACCTGGAAGATGGCGAGCTGCCGAGTGACGGGGACGACAGTGGTGGTGACCTTGCCGACGCCGACGTCGATAGGTTCGCGGCCGCCGTCGACCAGATCATTGCCGAGCAAAGTCTGGGCGAGGAAGAAGACGAAAGCACAACGAGTAGCTCCGGCTCATCGGATTCGGAGAGCGATGAAGGGGTCAGCGCCAGTCTCGCTGCCAAGTTGGCACTGTTGAAGAAGAGAGCGGCGTGAGATGGACCATTGTACAATATCACCTTATACGTAGAAGACCATGATACCCTCGAGGCCCTGCATATAGCCTTTGTACATCAATGACGTGCGCGCAACGTTGCTCTCTACCTGCCTGCCAAGAAAGCAACGGGCAGACATAGGCAGCAGGTGGGCCCTGTCTAATAGTTCGCCCTTAGTCTCATCGCATAGACATATAAGTCTCCCACGACATCT